ACAGTAACTAGGAGGTAAAAGTTGCTTTTTTACTCAGAGAGTTGTGTGGTAGCCAGAAAAGCACCTCATTAGTGAGCTTTCTATATTTTATATCCTTTTCTCTCTTTTGGTAAAGATGCATTTTTATCACAGAGATGAGGAATTTGCTAGGGAAAATGCACCAGATAATTCCTGAGTTTCTTTCATGAATCAGGCAAAATGAAATAGAATTCCAGAATATTGTCTTACCAACTGTCAAGCGCCAAGATGAGAAAATATATACTACAAGTTAATACATGGAACGTATGTTCTGAAAACATCATTATATTATTTTGGTGAGCTCTATCTACCTACTTAACATGGTTTAGCATCATATGGTATATTTCTTGCCCCTAGTACAGTGCAGGAATCTCTGGTCAAGGATGGTATAACAGAGAATAGAGTAGTTGTGACCTATGCAATAATTCAGGGACCCAGGCTGATAGAGATAAGCCATCTCCCAGATGTCTTCTAAGGCTTTCATTGTCAATCTAAGTGTTGATATACCCCAAATAGAGTGGACAAAAGAGAAAGAAAAGTAGGCAAATTTACTCCCTAATCACTGTGGCCAGAGGGAACAGGTAACATTTCTGCTCATATTCTGTTTGTGGTGTGTGTGTGTGAGAGTACACTTAGTTCTCAGTCGTGTGCAACTCTTTGCAACTCCATGGACTGTAGCCCATCAAGAATCCTGGAATTTTGCCATTTCCTTCTCCAGGGGATCTTCCTGACCCAGTACTCCACCAAGTTCAAGAGAGATGTGAAATGTCATCTCTGGCTAGATACTGGGTCTGTACACACACGATCTACTTTCCAGATTATCACAAGCAGCAGTTTACCAAATAGTTCCACAGCTTAACAAACTCTGCTGCTTTCAGCCTGCTATGTCTGTGTTCTTGTTGTTTTTGCATCCAATTTCAAGTTACACCACATGTTTTCTCTACTTTATAGAATCATCACGTTAAAAGTACCAAATCAACCCTCACCATTGTCACTAACAACCTAACTCCAGTGAAAATGGAACTCTTGCTTACATGAGTCCCAAGCTGGTATTCCTGACTGGCTTTGGACCCAGCAGCAAGAGGATCTATAGCATACGATGACAGAGGTACCCAGGCTAGCAGACCTCTGTCGTCTTCTAAATAGGACTTCCAGGGTGGCCTTGAGCATTTGCATCTGGCTGGTTTAAGAAAAGAGAGCAGTCAGAAACAGACTTACAAGTGACACTTACCTCCACTCAAATTCCACTAAAGAGAACTAATTATAGGGCTCCACTTCGATAAATGCAATGATAGGTGAAATGAAGTGCTCAGCTAGGCTCCCACTGTCCAGCAACATCTCAAAACCATGCTCAAAAGCCTTCTCTAGGGAGGAGTCTCTGCCACAGTAGTAAGATTGTTTTATGTGCATTCTGTTTTTAAAAATTAATTCTCGAACCTATGAAAAAACAATTGTATCATTCTTACAACCTATCTGAAAAAGAATGAATATCCATATATGAATAACAGAATCACTTTACTGTGCACTTAAACCTAATAACATTGTAAATCAACTATACTCCAATATAATTATAAAAAGAAACAAGTGTAAATAGTTAATGATAGTATCATGAACCAAGATTCTACTGCATCCTGGATTTCTGCTTCATTTATGCAAAAACACTGTTTATAGAAACAATATGACTCAAAAGACATTATTCCAAACGTACCTTTGTAGAGAAATCCTGAGATTTAGAAGCATAGGACTTTGGAATAAAGAACTTAAATAGAATTTGTCCAACCCTTCACTGTACAAGTGAGGACACTGAAGTTCCAGAAAATTGAGATAACAGGCAAAAAATATAATGTTAGTGAAAAATATATCTTTAATTGAAAAATGATTAAAAAGAAAAATGAGTCCTTTATATCATAACATCAAGGTGGTCACTTGAGGCACCAAAAAAGAGAAAGAAACTAGAATTTTGATCTCTTAAATTTCAGGTTCAGATTAAGNATCTCTGACCCATCTGTTTTCTGGCTTCCCTGGTGGCCCAAGTGGTAAAGAATCTCCCTGCAATGCAGGAGATCCAGGTTTGAATCCTGGGTCAGGAAAATCCCCTGGAGAAGGAAATGGCAACCCACTCCAATATTCTTGCCTGAAGAATACCATGGACAGAGGAGCCTGGCAGGCTACAGACCATGGGGTCGCAAGAGTCGGACACAACTGAGTGACTAAACCACAGGGAGAAACAGCACTCTTACGAGCAGACTTTCAGTAGACCCCCTTTCTCACCCTAAGCATGGGGTCGGTCTCAGGACCCATAGATCAGGAGGACTTACCCCATGTAGGGGGAAGTCTGAAGCCTTCCTGAGAGAAAATATCTTCTTTACACAGGTGTAAAACACTGGCTTCTAATAAAACTTGCCCTAAAGTTTTCTCTGTATCTTTCAAGGTTTCCAGGTTTTTATTAACCAATTCAAGAGACTTCTATAAACCTCACCCCTGAAATAGAAATTGTTTATTGTCTTAGACCTTTGATCTCCCAGGCCCCATTTCCTAATGTAACAGACTCCTTCCTTTAAAATATGCCATGTATTATAACTGTGTGAAGTCAATGAAACTAATTCTTAATAACTTTGAAATTACATCATATATATATATGATATATTAAGCTTATATATATGACATATTAAGCTTTTATGAGGGTTATTAATTTGAAAATATTTTTAATCCCACATATATTGTATACTGTTGTGAATCTTAATGGTTTCATATAGCTTGATAGAGAAAATTATTTCATACTTAATTTCATAAATAAGTAAATACACACATATATATTATAAATACATTCCAGACACTTCTAACCTTTGTAATATGAAACTATAATAACCACTGAGTTAACTGCAATGAAGGTGAAGACTAAGGTTTTAATCTTAGAAATGCCCTGGCAACTATGTGTCTAGAATGGGGAAAGGAGATATTTTAAGCCTGAATCCACACCAGAAGGCTCCTCTCTTTTATAAGGGGCTTAAACCACCTCCTTTTGTAAGGCAAGTAATGCCTACCAGATGTAGAGCATGAAATTAGCAGAGAAAACAGCAACAATGCAAAAGTTGGACTCCATAGTGGGAAAAGCGAGGCAGACATTTAACAAATCTTACTTAAGAGAAGCATATATATTAGGAACATATTATGAAAACATATACTTAAAGTGAAACCTGGACAGTCACTTTATTACATTACTTGATGTTATAAATTCCTTGCTATTTCATTATCCTACTTTATTTTTTCACTGGTTTAGTATGTTTCTACCACTGTTAAATTGTCAGTTTGGTGAGGTCAGAGACCTTGTCAGTTTTGTTTACTGGTTTACCCCTGGTGGTTCAGTGGTAAAGACGTTTCCTGCAATGCAGGAGATAAGTTAGATCCCTGGGTCGGGAAGATCCTCTGGAGAGATAAATGGGAACCCATTCCAGTATTCTTGCCTGGGAAATCCCATGGACAGAGGAGCCTGGCAGGGTACAGTCCATGGGGTCACAAAGAGTTGGACACAACTGTGCCTGGAACACAGAATCTCAATAAGTATTTGTGGAAGGGATGAATGAATATCCAGAGCAGATTAACATGTAACACATGAAAGAGAATGTACAAATTTACCTTACCCAAGAAAAACACCTGAAAATAAAACTTCTGTCCTTTTAATAGTGTGCTATGCTCTTCTTCCTAAATTAAGGAAACATTTTTAAATCAGTTCCATGACGAAGAACAAACTTATGATATATCACTAACATATATATTAGCATTCACTGTATTATGTCTAAGTAAGATGCAATTTACAGTCTAGGAAAGCTAGCATTACTTTTGATTATGTTAAGGTTTGAAGCCATCACAATTAGTTGTAAAGCTGTCTTCATGTGGTCTTGAGTATTGCTCTAGGTTTTGCTACAGATGGACATCTGGACACTGGAGACCAGAGAGCATGAAGTTTCAGGGGAAAATCTGCACTACTTTAAAGGACTTACTTAGGAGGGATTATAACTCAGTGATTATGGTCACAGTCTCCTGATACAGATAGTCTTGAACTCAAACTTTGAAATACAGTGAAGACTCCATACTTATTTGTTATATGTCCTTGACTGCTTATATAAGGTGTTTGAGCTTCAGTTTCTTCATCAGGAATATGGGTAATAGTAGCTCATGGATCTTTCCTGCACTTATCATAATGTCCAAAAAAGTGCTGATTTCAGGGCCTGACACAAAATCAGGGCTCAACAATGGGAAGCCATTATTATTAAACTCTGCAGAGAATTCCCAGCACAAAAAAAAAAAAAGGACATTTTACATCACTAACATGAAAATAGAAAAACTATGAAATGTTATATAAAGTCATTGGAAAGTAGTATTGTTGGGGGTATTTACATCTGACATCAGAGGAAGTGTGTTGCATTTAATATTTGTAGATTACAGTCTTGGCTCTAACATTTCCATTAGCTCAGTGATATAAAATCATGGACGGTCAGCCTCCTGAATTACACTAATTTAGCTGCCAATTTCATGTACAGGAAAACTTTATTAAAAAGTTCTTGTTGCTTCTACTTTCTTTTACAGGTTTAAGGCATAAATCAGAAAAAAGTTGATATGTATTGAAACAAGGCAACTATTAAACATAACACATGGAATGCCAAGTTAAGATAAACTAAATACTCAAAGTTCATTTACTACCATAGGTACCGGATCTTGGTATCTCAAGTGGTACCCCAGAGAGGTACCAGCACATGCACTCTCTCTCATGACTCAATTCTCCATGGTCTGGATAAAGGTGCTATACTTGGGAGTCAGATAGTTCAGTCTTGTAAGAATATAGAGATTTTTATAATCTAAGACAGGACTTTTATATCTAAGATATCTTAGATGGACTGTTCTAATATATTAACATTTTATGTAAGTTCACTGCTCTTGATTCATATAAACTTTATAAAAAACAGAAAGCACAAAGACATTTAATGCATAATTTCATTTATTCATGGATACAGATTAATACAGCCACTGTTTAAGATAGAAAAAGATATATAGAAAATATTTGATGATATTTTGCCAGTCAACTATTTTCCAGGAATAACCTTCTATTCCGAGGCTGCACTTTCCATTCACAGTGAATCTAAATCTCTTCCCTTCATCCCATGGGTGTCAGGATTTGTCACCCTTCCCATAAGCAAAATTGAATCTAGGAAAAGAAAAAAAGATCTTTAGGAATTTTGGGAGGAAAAAAAATGATAATAATCAATTTTTCTTAATGTTTTAACAAGCCATTTAGTCTTTTTACTTATAAGGTAAACTGGCAATATCTAATAACAAAGCCCACTTCTCTAAAATAGATGACTATATCATTATTAATCATTTTTTTTTTATAATTTGTGAAGTATATTAACACCCTCAACAGCTTGTCATGGAGAATGCATTAGTTCTGGTTTTCATAGAGGAAAGCAAAATTAAAGTGACAGAGAGGTGTTCTTCTAAATATAGAGACTCAGTCAGGCAAACATAGAGTAATAAAATGGTGATGAGCATAGGAAACGTTTTAAATTTAAGGCATTAGCAGTCATCTCTTTATGCATGTAATGTAAACCCTTGGGGTTAAAAGTGCAGTTTCTCAGTTCTCCTCCTTCAGCTTGAATCAAAGCTTACTGCTAAAGGCAATATTTTCACATCTCTCATACTTTCACATCCTCGCCAAAGTGATATAGTATACCGCATAAATGTAAACACCTGTTTCCAGCCATCCTGTGTTTTTCAAGTGAAAAGGAACTAAAAACTAGAGGACAAAACAGAAATAAATGACATGTCAAAATCCATTCACCTTTCTTGCCAACTAGGGAAAGGTAAATGGCTTGAATGGTTCAATGTCATATTGCCTTGGGTTACCTCCTTTAAAGTCATATGTAATAAAGGTTCATTTCAAAAATTAGAAAATAAAATTTTGCATAATTTTAAAGCAAATGAACATTATACTGATAAGTATTGAAATAACAATGGTAGAAATGAAGTAAAAAAGGAAGAGCCCTTCTTCATGAACTCTTTATTGTTCAGTCCAAAGACACAGTCTTTAAAAAGCCAATTAACCCAGAAATAGACATAATCTCTAGCAGAATTTTTTCTTCTTTTTATGACTATAATTAATAATACTTTGCCATAAAAATCTCAAAATAATTCCAACAATACTAGAAAACAAATACTCTGTTTTTCAGATAGACATGGATACATAAATAACTTCCCCAGGCTGTATACTGTGTTTAGTCACAAGAGGACTCAACAATAACCCTTGTATCTTTGTAATTCTCTGGCATTAAAATACTTACCAGAAATGCTTGTTTGGAGAATTTTTAAAGTGGCTAACCTCATAAATTGAAGACAATAGTTTAAAATTTTAAACTATAAGAAGTATAGGACCTTACATAAAAGCCATTTGCCCTAGTCTTTTCAATCTGCTTTTCTGACCAAGGAGAACCACATTTTGAATTAAGTCTACATGCAATAGCCAATCTACTCACTACTAAACTGGACAGATTAGTGAAATCTTCCTTGACATAGTCTCAATGGATATAGAGGCAGGTTGAAGCAGATTCATTGTTGTTTCCACTTTTCATGCTCCCTTCTTAAAGAGGTGTCCCTCATATTTAATAATATAGCTATAAAACATCTCTGTCAGAAGCAGTTTTTTAGTTCATAATATAAAAAATACAATAGCATAACCAAAGCTAGCAGCCTAGAGAAAAGATTTTTTAATGAATACCCTGCAGTCTGCTTCTTCCTTCAACGTAGGACCTGAAAAAATTCTAAACACAGTATTTTGTTGTTGTTGTTAAGTATGGAGCACTGTTAGTTTCAAAACCATGATTCACTACTTTCTGGGAAATGGTACATTTCATGTAGCATCTTTCATATCCTTCTTCTGAAAGTCTCTAATGCTGTCCTATACCCTCAACCTTAAAGAAGAAGAATCATTCTTCATTTCCCTGGAAGTTTGGCTCAGTAAGAGATTTGGATGAGTATACTGAAACGTATATATTATAGGAAGTTAAATACTGATAGGAAAATACAAGTAATGTATGGATTTTGCATAAGAAGTTTGTTTTACCAAAGGAAAATTTAAAATCTAGGCAAAAATTGGTTTTACTAAACCTAAAATCATTCATTCTCATACTTCAGGAATTGTCAAATGAATATATTTTATATAAATCATTATGCCATTTGGCAGTTCGCTGTGCGTGGTAAATCACCAGCTTTGTTAATCCCAATAATTTCTTCAGTTCACTTGTAAAAGGAAAAATAAATAAATCACTGAACGTGTATTGTCTTAAGATAATAGCCCATTCTGCATTATATATGGCAATAATACAGCCTCCTATAAATGAGTGGCCATTCATTTGAAACAATACTTTAGGGGAGTAACCTTAGTTTAGAAAGTCTCATTACAATAAAGATCATAAAACAGTGGAAATCGCCATTAAGGGTCTGACACTTCAGCATTATCACAAATAAGTAAATAAGTGAATTAATTTGAATTTTCACTACAATTTAACTGATAGCTATTACATGTCCTTAGCCCCTCAGTCATCAACTTGGAAAATAAAGAGTCAAGTATTATTCTAAATGCCATATTTCCTTGAGCATTGATGCCCAATGCAACTTCAGTTCTTTCTGTTCTGCATACTTAATAATTACATACTAATGGTAAGAAATTAGAGACATCCTAAGGTTAAGGTTGTATAAATCAAATGACATACACAGACTATGTCATAACCCTGACTCATCCCCTATAGAACTGAAGTTGTATTAATACAGCCTCAGCAAATCTGAAACTTTTCCATTGTTTCCAAGATGTAACTTTCAGAATGGTCATTCAGCATTAGTTTCACACAACCTAACAAAAGAGACTGATATATCCCTTAGGGGGTCAATAATATCAATATTGCTAGTTAAACGAACAGATTCAGTTTCTGAAATTAACTATGTCTCTTCTCCACGTAAATCAATTTATTTAGAGAAACTTTTCCACTTTTCTTCCTTCCTTTATGTTTATTTATTGATGTATCCACAATGAACATCATGTGCCAGGCACTGTGTCACAGACTTAATATATTCTTTGATTTACCTCAATGAGATAAAGGCTCCCCTGGTGGCGCAGACAGTAAAGAACCACCTGCAATGCAGGAGACCTGGGTTCAATCCCTGGGTTGGGAAGATGCCCTGAAGAAGGACATGGCAACCCACTCCAGTATTCTAGCCTGGACAATCCCCATGGACAGAGGATCCTGGCTAGCTACAGTCCACGGGATTGAAGAGAGTTGAACACAGCTAAGCACAGCACAGCATGACATAAGTACTAATATTATGTTCAAATAGGGGGTGGGAAAAATATAGCTTAGAAAGTATAGTGACTTGTCTTAGAACTATTAGTTCATTAAACTGGTCTTTGGACCCAACTCCAAACCTTCAGTCTCTAGAGATACTGATATTAAGTGCAGGGCACTTTGCCAAATTCTGGGCTGGATACAGAAAAGAGTAAGATATTATCTCTTTTCCAGTGGTATACAGTCATCGGGTTATGACTCCTGAGGAGTCCTAAATATATAGTTAAAGAAAGCTTCCTCACTATCCACATTTCTGGCCTCTCTCATTTCATAAGATGCAAAAACATCTANGAGTAAGATATTATCTCTTTTCCAGTGGTATACAGTCATCGGGTTATGACTCCTGAGGAGTCCTAAATATATAGTTAAAGAAAGCTTCCTCACTATCCACATTTCTGGCCTCTCTCATTTCATAAGATGCAAAAACATCTATCCAGACCATCTGCATTTATGTGTTCACCATGTCTGTAGTGCCAGTCCAACTGACTACCATCCCCACCTTTTGTACCTAACTGCATTATCTTATAGAATTGCCCAAATTAGAGAACTGCAATAATGTTTGACCCCTCCCTCCCACTCAGAGCCTATAGCTAGTCACTTATTCTTGGAATCTACCTAGAAAACCTTTCACAACTGTGCAACTTCCAAGTTCTACTCCCACTGAAAGAAAGTTGACTTCTGAGACAAACAGGTCTTATTTTCACTCAGCCACTTTTCAGTTGTATGACCTTAGGCAAACTACGCAACTTCTCTTTGAGTTTCTATGTATTTATTCATCAAATATTTGACTTATTGGAATGGTGTTAACTGTACAGATTGGTATTTAAAATCACCAGCACCTATACAAACTATCTTGGCCGCTATTACTAGTACTGATCTATTTAGGTCACTGACATCTCTTAAAGCACAATGCCTAGTACAAAATAATCACTCAACAGTCACTAAAAAACTTTGGAAAAAACTAAAATAAATTCAATAAATTGAAAGAACAAATGATTTCAGACTGTCATTTGCAGCTGGAACAGACTGTGATTAACAGCAAGATTCCAAAAGATTCAATAGACTAGGTCTATTGAACTTAAACAGTTCCCCCAGGGAATTCTCAAAAAGGTACCTGTTGGGTTATTCTTCATAATAAACAGAAATGGATGATTTGCTATAAATTGATTCCGTGACAGATTCATGATCACAGGTGTGTTTATGCCTATGAAATAGAGACAAGAGTTATTTAGATGTTCACATTTAAAGATCAGTAAAGAAAATATATCCATAATATTCACAATATTTTTTGTAGACAAGGAAAGGCCATTTTTATTTGAGGAGTTACCATGTGGAAAAATAACCATTTTCTAAATACAGAGAAATTTGGAATAAATCTGAACATTGAAGAGCAGAGGAAAAGATATTAGATTATTCATGGAATAATTCTAACTTCACACTTTATGCTCAATGAAGAAGAAAGCCAGATACTAGATTCAATTTAGTGAAAGCAGTTGAAAATTTCATCTTTTAAGCAGTAACTTTCTGCTCACTTTTTATTTACATTAGATAATTTATTGTATAATGTTTGAACTCCCAGTTCCTATCCAGGTATTTTGTAAATCCACTGAGGGGATGCCTGAAAGTCAAAACACTCACACTAAAACGGTGATACATCAGGGTCACTGCCGATGCCTTGGTGATTGTTACCTCCTTTTAGAGAACTCCATACTAAAAGCAAGAGGCCTTGGGCGATGGCAGAAGGGCTCTGAACCTGAAGTCAGGAAATCCGGCTTCAGTCCAAACCCTACCGTCTCACTGATGCGACCTTAGGCAAACTGCTCCACATATGGGTCTGTTTTATCACCAACATAATGAGAGAGATCAGACAATCTTCTATAAGGGCTCTTCCAATTCTATGTAAAAGCAAGTGGAGAGTTTGTCTACATGAACTAGCAACTTCATCTCAACACCACCTTTGATTTCTCTAAGGACTATAATAGCCAGTACAGGAGCCTTCCAGGAGATGACAAAACAGTAGGGAGCCCAGCGTGCCCCACCCAGATGTCAAAATCCATTGGCATTACATAGCATTATAAATTAATCAAGAAATTAATAATCTGGATATAAATGTATCAATATGGCTATTTAAAGGATGTATATCTTTTACATACTGGCTAAAATCCAAATCATCTGAAAAATTAAAATATGTTTATGAGGAATTCATTAAAGTTGTCTTCCCACTTCTAATTGAATTTAAGGCTTTTTCTCCAATTATTTGTTGAGTATTACATTTTTTTTTTTTTTTTGCCTTAAACTCCAGCCACCCAGATGCATAAATAGCTTAAATACCCACTTTGCCCTTCCTATAGTGTACTGAACAGCAGGAGGGGGAAAGGAGATCAGAGAGCCACAAAGAGCCAGCATCCTCATGCTCATTTCCCCCAGTCCTTCCTCCTGGCTTCCTGTGACATCGTTTGTCCTACCAGTTGATGTTGCAACTTCACTGCCTTCTTCATTTATCTCAAAGAAAACTTGTTGCATGACTCGGGAAACATACACCTCAGAAGAATCTGTTAGAAAATATGAAAGTGCATTTAAGGGTTAAAATTCAGAACCATTATTTATTGGATCCCATTACATTTTCAAATGAACAAAGAAAAAGGGGGAGAAAATGCCTTCCAAATTAGTTAAGTTTCTAGAGATAAAGGTGGTTTCAGTTTAGTTTTTGCAGAGATGATATAGAGAAAACATGAAGAGACCAAGTTTAGCTCAGATATGAAAGGTAAAGATAGAAGGGGATCAACCTCAAGTCAGGCACCCCACTAAGTGAAATATTTCAATGGACCAAGGGTTTTGCTCCCCTTCGTCATGGTCTACAGATAAGATGAAAAAGGCTTTACAGATATGAATTAATCCCACCCTATGTTTTCAACCTCAAAGCCAACTTGCCTTTTAAACTCTGTATTGGGTTTTGATCTGAGTTTAGAACAAAATTTACTTTCCTTCAAGACTGGTGAGGTGATAAAAGTCTAAAGGGCTTTTGTGTCATCTGTTCCAAAATCACTTCAGAGCTAGGGTTTAAAATCTGTCAAATTTCTCAGTGTAAGCATCTTAACAACATTTTGTTCTGCTGTGGGAACAAGCTGAGAGAGAAGGCCCCACTCATCCCCTCGGTGAAACTGATGTATGTGTGAAGCCTTTCTGATATAGTGACCTGTGGAGCATCTCCTTGAGAAGGGGGAAGTGAAACTCTAAGTTCAAAAGCCATCTGCTGTCCCTGCTGCATCAAGACCAGATAGACCTGACAGCATTCCTTGCAGAAACAACAAAAAGGTGGTGGTGGGTTCAGTGATGGCAAGAGGGTGGAGGAGATCAAGATGAGCCTTGACACCTGAAGAGAAAGGAAATAAAGGTGCTTTGTCCCTCTTGAGAGAGAAAGCTGATGTGATGCAGGTGGACCCCATCAATACAACTGAATTTAGAAGAGCTTATGAAGAAATAGGGGTTGGTTGAGGTAGTAAAGAATCTTCTGTAATTCAGGAGGCTGTGGTTCAATCCCTGGGTTAGGAAGATCCCCTGGAGAAGGGCATGGCAACCCACTCCAGTATTATTGCCTGGAGAATCCCATGGACAGAGGAGCCTGGCAGGCTATAGTCCATGGGGTCACAAAGAGTTGGACACGACTGTGTGACTAACAGAGAAGGCAATGGCAACCCACTCCAGTATTCTTGCCTGGAAAATTCTATGGATGGAGGAGCCTGGTGGGCTGCAGTCCATGGGGTTGCGAAGAGTCGGACACGACTGATGCGACTTAGCAGCAGCAGCAGCAGTGTGACTAACGCTTTCATGAAGAAATAATTTAGTCAAGGGGAACCATCTCTGACAGCTTACAGAAAAGTAAATCCCCTCAGGCAAGATAGAGAGAAGTCATCAAAGGGTGATTTGCATAAAAAATGGCTTCCTAAAAATAACTCCAGACTCTGTGTGTGATGACTTTGTCTGGGCCCTTGATTACCTCTGATCCCCATCTCCTACCCTCCTTTCCTCACCCAATAGCTCCATCTACAAGGTCAAGCATCAAAGCTTTAGTCTCATCTGTCCCTCTGCTTAAAATCCCTTTTCCCAGAACTTACCCTGATTGGGTCGCCTGTTACTTAGGTCTGAATAAAAATGACGCTTCCTCAAAGCAATCTTCTCTTTCTACCATGTCTAATTCTGCTCTTATCTGATCTAATTTCTTTATCCCATGACTCTATTTTAGTTAATTCATACCATCTATCACCTCATCATTTAATTAATTAATTACTTGTTAATCATCCATCTGCCCTAACAGATGTAAACTTCATTAGGAGAGGGAATTTGTGGATTTTATTCAACTCTAGAAAATTGCCTGGCAGATAGCTAGCTGGCTTATAATAAATACTTGCCAAATAAATAAATCAATGGATAAGAATATGTCCAGTGACAGAAACAATTCAGATGGAGAAAGAGGGGCATTCATATCATGAGTGTGGTTTAACTAAAATGCAGGAGTGTGGTCTTTTAAGGTCATGCAAATAAGCACATTTTTTTCCCCACAACTGCCTAGAATAAGGATTTGCATATAGAGCACAGAATAGATGACTGAGGGCCCATACAAAGAATGAAGACCAAATAGCAGGTTGGGATGGAGTGGAGAATTTCATGCATGCAGTTTACCACTGACACCAAACCAAGTGAGCCTTTGGCAATTTGACCTTCTGTATTCCATCTTCTACAGAGATGGTACGGTCTTGGAAAAAGAACAGGACCTGGAAGATGCTAGATTAGAACAAGAGATCTGAACTTCATAAACTTACTGGTTTCTATACCTTTGTAATCATTCCTTCCCTTAATTCTCTATGAAGATTCCAAGTATGTCTTCATCAAGTTAAGAGGATAAGAAACTTCCAGTAGCTTTGCTTGAAGATGTGCAAGTAAATATTAATGTGCCATTTGCTCAATTTTCTTTTCGCATTTAACATTTACTGAGTATCTACTATAAAGTGAAAGTCACTCAGTCGTGTTCAACTCTTTGCGACCCCATGGACTATACAGTTCATGGAATTCTCCAGGCCAGAATACTGGAGTGGGTAGCCTTTCCCTTCTCCAAGGGATTTTCCCTACCCAGGTATCGAACCCAGGTCTCCTGCATTGCAGGTGGGTTCTTTACCATCTGAGCCACAAGGGAAGCCCATCTACTATATAACAGATGTTGAACAAGGTGATTTACATATGTCCTTTTATTATTTCTGCCACTAGGATATATTGTTTATTTAATAGATTAGAAAATTGAGGTTCAGAAAGATTAACTATTTTACTAAGGGTGACAGAAGTCAAACATTCATCTCAAATTTGCAAAAATAACTCTTTTAAAAACATTTCATTCAAAATATGTGGACAATCTGAGTAAAAGATAGTGTCTGTTTTGTGTAAATATCCCACAGCAGTAGCGTTGGACTGACCCACAGTAGCCTTTGTGTTGTTTTACTTACTCAGTTGTGTCCAACTCTTTGCGACCCCACGGACTGTACCCAGCCAGGCTACTCTGTGCATGGATTTCCCAGGCAAGAATACTGGAGTGGGTTGCCATTTCCTTCGCCAGGGGATGTTCCCCACCCAGGGATCAAAACTTCATGTCCTGCTTGGCAGGTGAATTCTTTACCACTGAGACGCCACAATAGCCTTTAGCAAACGCTTATTGCACAAAACGTACTAATAGCAGGGAATTAATTCACTGTTCTCCTAAAGACTAGAAATAGTGCCAGCCTTGGCTGTGGTTGTTCTATTTCAGGCAATAAGACAGAACCAAAGTCATTAAATCAACTCAAATAGGTAACTCAGAGCAAAAAATGTTGGACACTTATTCTTTTCTGTTCAGGGTTATTCTCTTGTACAAATTCTCTTATAAAGCATTTTGGGGGCATTTTATTGATGTAAAAGGAAATTTTATAGAAGTCACAAATTTCTGGGAATTTGCAGAGCAAGTGGCTGTTTGAAATGCCTGAGATATAGCAAGTGAGCTTCCGAAGGCCAGAAAGACATTTAAGGCGAAGAGGTGTTTAAAAAATGGCTTGGTTTATTTAAAGTTGGTAAGGTGGCTGCATTCCAGGACACACTTAGACAGAATCCTGTTGCAGTATTTAATTTTGACTGCCTCATTCCTGATGCTGATGAAATTGTCAAAGAAGTCAGATCTATCTGTCAGTGTGAGAACAGGCAGCTAAATCATGTGTGAAGGTGATAATGAACATCTATGTCACCTGTGTACCCCACCCACCTCCTCCACCAGGAAAACTCATTCATTCTGTTCACTTACCCACATAATTGATAAGTGAATAAGTTAATGAATACCTCTCCAAAGCCCACATTTTATAAAGGAATACATAATAATTCTAGGTTAGGATATCCAACCCCATCAGACAGACAAGCTTGTATCATTAGGACTTTATTTTTTCTTTATAAAACAGAAGACTGAATTTAAAAGAATTTAAAATAGCGGGATAATTTGGCCCTCTTCCTCCATTTTTTTTTCTCTTTAGTTAGTTTTGAACTAGTAGGTACTGCCAGGATGAGACATAAAGAGTGTCTTGGGCTTTGTTGTGAAAGTGAGCATCTTAACCATGCACAATTTCCCAAGTGCCAGTTAGCATAAAAGCTCCATCTCCTCTGATGTGTTGTCAGTCTCAAGCTAAATCTACAAGCTGCAACCTTACAATTTCTAGACTGTGTTCATCATCCAACAGCTTGCAGATGCCTATTTCATGGGCTCTAATATTACCAAATTAACATTTGCAAATTGGGAGTTTTATTAGCTCTGTTTAAATGAGAGCCTCAAAGTTGTAATTCCCAATATTCAGATAAGGAAATACAAACAGAGCTGGAATAAAAGCCCCAGATAATACTTTTCCTACATAGTTTCATTGTAAGTGTGGTTAGAAGGCTTATCTAACATTCTAACATGCTGTCTGACTTTCATTAAGTAAAACTACTTAAATGCAAAATACAGTGCTTGTTTACAGACAGCTTGACACGATGATGACATTTATTCCCCGTGTACATATTTTCTGGGGCCAAATGCTCTTTCAGTTTTAAGCTCAGTCAGTTAACACAGTTTCTAAGAGAACATATTTACTTGATAATATAAGAATAATTTTTCATATTACCTGTTATTCCAGAAAGGTCACAGCCACCACTAAATATCTCAGTTATATTCAATGAATACAAAGCTTCTTTGAAGTCTAATTTTTGTTCTACTTTAAATCTGCTTAAAAAAATGAAGAGGAAAATTTGTGAAACACTGTACACATTGGCTACCAAAAAGGTTTTTTTTTTTTTTAATGGATGACTTGGAAGATATTTTATTGTGAAATATTTTGTTTTCATTATCTTCATTTTTCACACCATTTCCCCACTATTCCACTGAGCAATTTTGGATTGCTAATAACTTGCTTCCCAGATAAATGGTTACTTGGGAAGGGAGAAGAAAATACTCTATTTTTTGAGGTAACAATTACCCAACAAAACAGGGTGAGAGTTCTAAGTTTTTGATTATTTGGCTTCTTCCCTAGAACAGTAAAACGTCCCTCCAGCAACTGTACACACTCAAGTTTTTTTTCACATCATCCAAGATGGTTCCTGGCAGACATCCAAGATACGATGAGCCAGAAACAGAAGCCAACAGTTCATTAAAAAGATTGTTGGCTACTGAGGTAGAGAGAGGGGGCATTAGTAGCCTATGATACTTTCATATCCACTGTCCCAGCTGATGTGACTTCCTTCAGTTTAGAGACATACCTAACATCTTTCCAATAAGCCCTGTTAAAGAGGTAAAAGACTGAAGGGGGACTAAATTTCTTTCCAATAAAATAGAGCAAAAATTATAGGAGGGGAAAAAAAGAAAGAGCTGGCCAATACTTCTAATGCAAGGCCCTAAGTTAAGACTCTAGATTCTATGCAAGTTTCCAAGCATTAGTTTGCCTAAAGAGGGAACTTCACCAAAGAATCTCAAAGATCCTCTCAGGCACTGACCTTCTATGATTCCATGCTAACAGGAATCTATGACCCTCACCTTCCCATTTTAATAAAATGGAAGGAAAAAAAACTAGATTATTGACTTTATAGATGCTAAAAGCATCTATCTACATTTTACAACCAGATTGGAAATTTTGTTCATGAAAGAAAAGAGTATAAAGTCCTTCAATAGCTAAGTCTATTTCTGACTTCAGAGAAATCCCAGGACGGCTCCTGCCCCAGGAGCTCTGTCTGTTCCCTGGCTGGAACTTTGCCCTGGTTGGTACCTTCTGGTGTGGATGCAGGCATGATTGCTTAAGCACAGGAACCTTGTTTAGCTAACAGGCCCACATCTGGGGCTAGAAATTAGCTTGCACAATCAGTCTAATTAGATTATTTTTTAATTGCCAAATACTGAACAAGCTTCTTATAATAATTATAATTCTTCAAAACAATGAACACGCTGTAGCAAAAATTTACTGGGCCTAAATTATTTCTTGGCAAATTATTATGTACTTTTGGAAGATGTTATTTCACTCAGAACCCTAGCTAACTGGAATTGTATAATTCCAGAGCATAATTGTGCATAATTGTGGCACAACTCACAATGTGCACGTTAAAACCTACTGATAATGAAAATAACTTGTTTTATGCCAATCATTTTCAACTTCTTTTTAACTTCCTGCTAAGAAAGAGAATATGTAGCATGATGGTTTTGAGGCTTTGGGGTTGTGCTTTTATTCTGTTTTAATTACCACACTCTTTTTTATACAGGATGGAATATGGGCTTCTAAAAGGTGAAGGATAAATGTTCTAGTCCATCTGTAACTTGACTATTTTTAGTATAATAGTCCAATGATTTGGGAATAATGACAAGAATACTACAAGACTTATTACAACCTCTAATAAGGCCTAATTATACCAGAGAGTCATTTAAGTAACAGTCTTGCTCATAATATAGTCCGATGAAACCTACTGCGATAGAAACCCATTCAACCATTTAATAAAATATAATCTACAGCCAATTTCTAATTAGACATAATTATTGGAGCTATGAACAGTCAGGTGTGAAGTAGCACTTCCATGTGTTAGGTACTTAATATAGATTATAGTTTTTAATCTTCACAAAAACCCTGGGAAGTGAGCATTATCATTTCCATTAACACATAAGAAAGTGTAGGTTTTGAGGAGGTTGATTTCCAAGGACAAGACAGACAGGGCTAGAGTTCAAACTCAGGTCCATTCCAATTAAAGCTAATGTGCTAACCTCCACTGCCTTCTAATCAAAATATAATTCAAAATCGTAATCTCGATCAATTCATATATATGCTGTACCGTTCTGTCGCTTCAGTTGTGTCTGACTCTGTGACCCCATGGACTGTAACCCACCAGGCTCCTCTGTCCAGGGGATTCTCCAGGCAAGAATATTGGAGTGGATTGCCATGCCCTTCTCCAGGTGATCTTTCCGACCGAGGGATCAAACCCACATCTCTTATGTCTCCTGCATTGGCAGTCAGGTTCTATACAACTAGCGCCACCTGGGAAGCCCCAATACATATATGTATAGTGTTAATTATGGACCTCTTCCAAATTTTGTGAATCTTAATATTTATTCTAGATGTGGCTCATTTCCTTTCTTTTCCTGGATCCTCCTCTAAAATTGTCAAAAGAATACAGCTAAAGCTTAAAGAATGAGCCGCAAAAAGACTCAATAGACAATTACCAAGTAAGCAATCATGAAATGAATGTTTTAGCATATGTAAATATTATCCACCTTCTTAAAAGGCAGCAATTTACTGTCATAGGCAACCATTGTGCTTAAAGTGGTCTCATACAAGTTCAAGCTGCAGAAAACAAAGGATAACAATTTAGAATTTCTGTTTGAAGAAGGATTCACTCCTGGTCTGCAGGCCCTACTGTGGATTTCTATTGTCTCTCCTCCTTTATACCCAGGACTCCTGTTTAACGACAAAATGTCTTTGGCAGTTTTCCTTCAAGGTCCCTATCCTTAATTGTTTGGAATCCCTGTTTTGATACAGTGGCCTTGAGCCATCACTGAAAGTTTCAGTCTTAGAAACAACCAAACCAAGTCTTAGGGCTGCCCACAAAGATAAAAAATAATACAATCCAAGTGGTCAACTTGGACTATCATGTGAGGGCATAGTAGTTTCTGGTCACTTTCCTGTGTGTGTGTGTGTAAAATATTCTATCGGCCTTGAGAGCTGAATTAAAAATGCTTTCTGTCACATAGGAAACCTCTCTGGACAATGTTCAGTGTAAACTTGGATTCTGCTGTGTATCAGTGTCTGATAGGTTAAAGTAAATGAACCTTTGTAATCACCACTGCAGCTGGTCATAACTTATCTCCTCTCACACCCAAACTCATTTTCCCTGAGGTCATGTTATCTCATGCACACACGGTTCACGTTCATGCACTCAGAAATCTGAAGTTGGCCAGCCTGGGATGGATTACTAGCCCAGTAAGAACATGATGTCCATGGGATGTGTGACTCTTTCTGAGTCTCTGTGGCACTGCGGCCTCACGTAACTCACCCAGCTGCTCATCATGTCACTGACCATTTGCTCTGTTCTGTGCCCTCCTTCATGTTTGCCCCACTTTACACAAGCATTTCCTGACCTCTGTAATTTTGACGCTGCCATTTGCTAGCTCTGTGACCTCTGGCAAGGCATTTACCTGTCTACATCTCAACCATAACCTAAATATTAAAAATAGATTTCTATCAAATTTATGGTGGTGATTAAGTGAGATATGGCAAACAGGGAAAGCAATCCACTATAATAGATTGTCAAGAAATTTTAAAGCTGAATGAGAATAATAATAATAAATAATAACAAAATAAGATATACTGAGTACTAAAAATGTAACAAATATTTTCTCATAATACTCCTTGCAACAACCCTAAGAGGCAGGTATTTTCAGTCTCTCATCTAACAGTAAGAGAAAAATCTTAGGCAAGACAAAGTTTTTCAGTAAGGAGATGACAAAGCTCTTGGTCTTCAATATTATGTTCTATTTTCCATAATCTTGTTTCAACTGTTGATAAAAGACACTGTGAGATGTCACATCAGTCGATATTTTTAAAGAGGGTTACTTCTTTGAAGAACTGTGGCTCTTGCTTAGTCATCACTATGAAAGTGAAGGTAAACTGACAGTGTTAGCTCCTCAGTCGTGTCTGACTCTTTTTAACCCCATGGACTGTCATTACAGGCAGATTCTTTATAGTCTGAGACACCCGGGAATCCTATTGATCACTATACTTTTGAATAAAAGTGTAGTATTTAACAAATTCAAAGACCCAGACTGTCAAAAACTTAATGACAACTAAGAAGACTCTCCCTAATACTCACAAACTTGCTAATAATTTCAACAGCCTCAGGACTCTGAATCCTACTCTACAATCCTAGAAGTCCATGGTGCCCGGATAAGGCTGCTACAAAAGAAGAAAATAAGTCAACATCTTCTCATTTTCCTATAAAGTCAAACTAAAAACCTCAGAACATTCTATTCCTTCTTAGCCCATATGTACTTAGTCATACACTTCAATCAGTGTCTTTCTGCTTCACCTGCCATTTCCATTTCCAGTGAAGCTGCTCCCTTAAGCACTCACTACTGAGTGCCCTAATTGTTGCAGTGGTTTCTTAACATCTTTTGGGCTTCAGTCTTTCCCTCTCTAACACATCCCAAACATCATGACTATTCAAATTAAAGCAACAAATTGAGCAACTACCATTTTTCAGATGCATGCACTGTGATGGTATCAAAGAAAGGAAATATGCATAGCTTCTGACCTCAACAAGTTTACAACAAGCCTAGCTCAAGTCCTTCCTCGTACTGAAGTCTTTGTTTATACAGTTCCAGTCTCTGGTGCTTTCTCTCCCTTCTCTCCTCTCTTTTTCCATGAACCTCGAAGTTCTTACTTATACCATTCTTTCAGTATTTAATTATTAGTTCAGTTCAGTTCAGTCGCTCAGTCATGTCCAACTCTTTGCGACCCCATGAATCGCAGCATGCCAGGCCTCCCTATCCATCACCAACTCCCGGAGTTTACTCAAACTCATGCCCACCGAGTTGGTGATGTCATCCAGCCATCTCATCCTCTGTCGTCCCCTACTCCTCCTGCCTCCAATCCCTCCCAGCATCAGGGTCTTTTCCAATGAGTTGACTCTTCGCATGAGGTGGCCAAAGTATTGGAGTTTCAGCCTCAGCATCAGTCCTTCCAATGAACACCC